TCAGCTCACTGCAACCTCTGCCTCCTGGGTTCAAGCTGATTCTCCTGCCTCAGCCTCCTGAGCAGCTAGGATTACAGGTATGTGCCACCACACCTGGGTGATTTTTGTATTTTTATTAGAGATGGGGTTTCACCATGTTGGTCAGGCTGGTCTTGAACTCCTGACCTCAGGTGATCTACCCACCTCGGTCTCCCAAACTGCTAGGATTACAGGCATGAGCCACTGCACCTGGCCTGTTTACTGTAATTTTAATGGCCAATCAGATCACTCAATTTCTCTCATTCACAACCAATACATATAAACCTTAAAATGAATATATCTTCAATTTAAACCTAAAACCTTTTATTCATATGCAGCAATTTACTTTTGGCATTCACATTAATTTGGACCAGAGCTCAGCAAGAGGAGTTCCTGTTCTCACTCTCTCTCCTTGGAACTCAAATGTAACTAAGTGTCTAAGCACAGTAGCAGCATAGGATATTGAAATGCAGTTTCATAAATGGAATAATCAGCTGTATACTCACCCTTTTGACTATGGAGGTAACCTTTGGGAAAACATTCCTAACCAAGTTATACTACATCTACACTACTGTGTGGTAGTAAAATATAGTAGTAGTAAAGCCAGTTCTTTAGCTTAGAAAAGAAACTACATTTCCTTTTTAGTACCTTCTACTTTCCTACCCTTCCATTCAGAAAAGACAAGCAGGGCATGTTAATTCAAAAGGCAAAATGATTGCAATGCCAGATACTGATCTAAAATGTATTCTACATTCAATATGGTCTACATCCATCCATTTATACTTTTGTCGAATGGCCATATATGTCACTGGTCGAGTACTTGGGCTTCCTTATGCAGGAAAGTCAGTTGCTTGGCCCCTAGAAAAGCTGTCAGTGAGGTGGAACTGAGTAAATCCTAGCTTCCACGTAGTCTGCTCATCCATAAGCCCTAGCCAAAGGTGTGGTAAACATTCAGCAATGGGGGCCCACTGGGCTCCTGATCCCAAATCCAGAGGGAAATCTTCCAGAGTTTATCAAAGATGTACATTGGAGTGTACAAGTTTAGGTCAAGGGTATCTGAATCGCACTGAACTTTTGGGGGAATGTTTGATAAATGAGTGTAGGTTATAGTTAGGCTCATTTTATAGTTTATTTCTATTTGAATAGAATTTAAGGATGACTTAGATCCACCTGGGCACACAGGTACTTATTAATAAAGTCAAAGGATATTAATCTAAAGACCATTACACAAGGGCTATTTACAGAGAGAAACCCAAGACCTTTACTTTTTGTTTTTGAGACTGAGTCTCTCACTTAGGTTGGGGTGCAATGGTGAGATCTTGGCTCACTGCAACTTCTGCCTCCTGGGTTCAAATGATTCTCCTGTCTCAGCCTCCTGAGTAGTTTGGATTACAGGTGCATGCCACCATCCCCGGCTAATTTTTGTATTTTTTGTAGAGCGGGGGTTTCACCATGTTGGCCATGCTGATCTCAAACTCTTGACTTTGTGATCCGCCCACCTTGGCCTCCCAAAGTGCTGGTGGGATTACAAGCGTAAGCCACTGTGCCCGGCCCCAAGACCTTTACTTTAAATATAATTATATTTTAATATATTATGTATGACGAAAAGATGGTTCTCAACTGCCTTTCATTCAGCCAAAGATGGTTAGGGTGAAACAAATACTGTTTTGAAAGATAAATATGGCACTGAATGTAATAGTGACAGTTGGGGGTTCATTAGTCACATTTAGGAAATTACAGTTTTACTCTGACAAGTTCTAACTCCCTTTTGTAATGATTCTCAAAATAATTTAACTGTGTTGTTAAATAATTTAACTGTTTTAACTCAGGAGACAAGTATGGAAGAATAAACTGTCAGACGAACAGTATTCTAAGATACCAACAATAAAATAATTAGCAAAAGCTCCACAGCTGCTGTGCTAAAAATAAAATGCTGGAGCAAAAAAAGACAAAAGGTGTGTGCACTGTTATCAAAATCTGTTCAAACACTCTTTGGAGAACAAATGTCAAATGCAACTTTAAAACAACAATGACAAACATTACCATGTAACACATATTTGGAAAAGCGATTAGGACTTTTTAACAATACGTAATTGACATATTATGAACAAGACCTATATATAAACAACGGGAAGCTATTGCTAACAAGTTATTTTCTCCCTATATTTTATCTTTAGCAATACCTGAAAACCCAATGAATTAGCCACAGGGTATTTTCCACTTTAAGAAGTAAAGCCATGTAGATAAAACCAAGTCTTCTATGTTAAATTTATGGGAGGTGATATAATGCAAATAATAGCCTTCTTTAAAGTCAGCTCTTTTTATTCTATCATCCTAAGGAGAAAAATTTACTCCAGTTAATGTTTTATAAATTAAGATTAACTTTGGCAAACCATTTAGGTATTGTGTCAAATGCTGGATTAGTGGCACAGCAATTTTCTTCTATCTAGATCAGTTGAACCGGGTAGGTCTGGCACATTAAGAATATGCTTGTCCTCAGAAGATAGGTCTTTTGTATCTCTATCAGGAGAATAAAATCAGAAGTCAGATCAAAGATTAAATTTGATGTTCTGACTCTCGAAAGAAAAACATTAGATGCTTCAGGGAAAAAAAATCACTATTAATTCCCCCCAACTGCCTGCTCCCAAAATCCCACAACACATTTTCATTCCAAATTACAGACAGATGAAAACCACAAAAACGATTCCCTTTCAGAGGAACTTATATTTAATGCCCAGTAGATGAAGAAACCTCACATCAAATACAGTGCACGCTGCTGTATTTATATTTTGGATAGTTCCACTAACAGCTATACTGCAAACAATGAGGCTTGTTGTAAAAGGATCACCTGTACAGTTAAACCTCACATAGACACACAGCAAAACCAAATGTGTATACTTCCCGCAGTGGAAGAAGTTGAAAATCTAGATCTAGAAATGTATAAAAAGTGGCTTTGAAAACCTGCTATACCAAACACCTCTACAGACAAGATAAAAACAAAAAAAAATCAAACAAACATTTGTTTTCCGGATTTTTCTTTAATACAGTTGCCATCTTACATGATGTACTATTAGGTGCCTTCTTAATAGCATCTAACCTACCCTTCTGTTGCACCATTTGGCCTCCTGGGATGGAACTCTTGTTACCACCCATGTTTGTGGAGTACTGTTCTTTAGTACAGTACACCTAACTCACATTGTCAGGCCATATAATTCATGGGTAGTGGTATTAATTTCTAAAACTGAATTAACGCACACATCCAAACCACGTATACTTTTCAACTGAAGAGTTCATACAAAGTCTATTTCCTTTCTACAGCAGCTATCGCTCCAGATTGTGGTTTAAAAATCCAAGAAGGGGGAAGAATGTCTTTGTTTTCAATGCTTCTTTCTTCCATCCTTTTTTCCTTCTTTCCATTTTCTTTTTCTTCCATTCATCTCCTTCTTTCTTAGTGATAAGAGGTTAACAGAAATGGGCTATTAAGGAAATCAAAGTCTAGTAAACGTCCAAAACAGAGATCAGAGTAGTCACAAACTCTTCTTTGTAGTGATGTTAAATTACTGACAAATGTTTTTTTTGAAAACAAAAAAAATCTAAAAACCAGCACAAGCTAGTGGTGCTGCATATTATTTAAGCAACTGGCGTTCTTCAATGCTTTTGAGGCGTTTCTTCCGGGGCTGAACAAAGTCATCATCTGAATCATCACTAAATTTATTATCTTCAGATTCATTCCTGAATTCTGGTTTGGGAAACCTTTTTTCTGGATAGAGGTTCTTTAGAAGTTCTTCAAAATAATTTTCAAGTTTTATACCAGCATTGGCTACTTCTGAATCAGGCTGTTGAGTAAAAATAAAAATATGAGTAAAGAAAGGACCCATTTTTGACTTGTGAGATTAGATATATTAATGCGCTGTTTTGAAAAATGTTCATGCATAGTCATTGAAATAAATAATAGTCTAGGACTAGACAAAGTCTCTGTACAGAAGGCCAGCTAAAATAAAAGATTCATAAGTGTGGAAAAAAGTAAAAGACTGGATTATTCTAAAAGAAGGTGGTAATGGTAGGACTGTATTGCCAAAGATATATCAGTTAGGATTCCATAACCATAGGATCATGAACCAGGTATTTTTAGAACAAATTAAATGTAGTACTCTTACAATGAGTAACAGAGAACAAACCACCTAGCAGCAAAAGGTCCTAAGTCTGACTGACAGATGTTTAGATGAACTGACAGATGAGAAATTTTTAAATTAGAGCTATTTGGCCCACATCCTTAATATTTCAAGATCAACATAAAAATAAGAAATAAAGGTGGGAATGATAAAGAATAATTTTAGGTCAGAAAAATATTTTGTCTTTCCGTTATCAGCTGTAATTTACATTTCCATCACCATCTAATAAACCTTTGAATATAAATGTGGATAGAGTTATCTGAATTCTCTCCTGCATTCCCTGATCTGAAAAGTTGGAAATTTTTTCTAACTCAGACATCTTGGTCTCCTATGTTGACACGGTGTTTAGTATAAAATGATTTTCACACTGCTATTCCTTCTTGCCCCTCCCCTCCCCTAGCCTCACCTCATTGAATTCAGCACAGTTTTGAAAGATCAATCTAAAATCAGCTACAAAATCTTCAGGTTTTGAGTACATGGAATAATCTTCTTGTAGTCTTTTCTTGATGGTTGACAAATCCATTGGATTTTTAATTATTTTGTAATAATCAGGCACCTTTAAAAAAAAATGAGATGTTATAATATAAATAGCTAAATTCTACCTTGTCCTAAATATATTCTATGAGATGTGCTCTAAAATTCAGAATGTTCTCATTGCTTTTCTCTGTGCTATCTGTCATTAGTAAAGAAACCCATTTAACAGTGTTTACAAGTGTCCACTGCCTTCCACATACATACTGGTAAAGGTTTGTGTTACTTTTTCCAAGAAGTTTAACCAATTATTGTTTTTGAGACAGGGTCTTGCTCTGTCACCCAGACTGCAGTGCAGTGACACAATCTCGGCTCATTGCACTTTGCCTCCTGGGCTTAAGTGGTCCTCTCACCTCAGCCTCTCGTGTAGCTGGGGCTACAGGCATGTGCTAACGTAGCTGGCTAATTTTTGTATTTTTTATAGAGATGGGGTTTTGCCATGTTGCCCAGGCTGGTCTCAAACTCCTGGGTTCAAGCAATCTGCCTCCCAAAGTGCTGGGATTACAGGCATGAGCGACTGCACCCAGTCCCAATTATTTTTAATGAAAAAACTTGTCTTCACATATTCCCTCTTAAATCATCTAGATTTTCTTTCATTATTAAACAAAAAGCAATTACTAGAAATAATATCATTTCTAGTAGAATCTGACATGTTTTTGCTGCATGTATTTATATAACATGTGGTAAAGAGGAAGAAGGACTTCGAATCTGGGTTTAATCCCCAGCTCTGCTGCTCAGTATCACAGTCCTGGGTAAGTTACTTAACCTCAGTTTCTTCATATTCCAGATAGGAATATTATTCTGCCAAGCTCACAACATTTTGTACAGACTAAATGAGATGATATTCATTAAGAAAAAGGGGGCTACTTTGTCAGTGCTGTTGATATTAATAACGTAACTCTAAGCCAGGATAACAGAAAGCACAATTCAATACCCTGCCTCTTTTGGGTACAAAAGAGCCTTCTCCCTGGAAGTATTTATTTCCTATATCAGGTTCTCCAAACCTGTTCTTAAGAAAGAAGCTGTTTATCAGCTGAATGTATTTACTAAGCTGATACTCTTCTAACTTTGTACTAATCTGAGATTTATCAAACTATAGAACAAATTAAATTTTTTTTTTTTTTTTTTTTTGGAGACAAGAGTTTTGCTCTTGTTGCCCAGGCTGGAGTGCAATGGCGTGATCTCGGCTCACTGCAACCTCCGCCTCCTAGGTTCAGACATTAGAATACTTTTTTGGGGTACCAGGCCCTTTCCAGCACCCTAAAATTATGCATTAAAGTCACATCAAACTTTCAATATGAACCTCAACTTTTTTGTATTGGTAAAGTCTACTTATTTACTTGAAGTCTGGACCTATAAATAAAAATAAGTACGGAAAATTTAGCAGGGAGAGATGTCTTTATTTCAAACAAAGTTTTTTTCCAAGAGCTTTGGAAACATGCCTAAAACTCCTGAGATACAGACAATTAACAGAAATCACCCCAAACACCCCAGTACTAAGTAAAATAGACGAGAAAAGACGAAAGAATACCTGAGAAACGAACACAAGTTTTGGGCCACTTACTAAAAATGTACCTATATAGAATCAAAGCATTCAGTATGTATTATTAAGATTTAAGGTTTAGATTAAAAAATACTAGAAAATGGTATATAAGCTAGATTCTCATAAATAAAAATTCCAGAAAAGCATTCCACTGTGTAAACATGCACAAAATGACATTAATACTTACAGTTAGAGGAACAGGGTCTTGAAAAGCCAGGCTCATTTCGTGGCAGTAAAGAAATAAAAGTAGGCGTTCACACTTCTAAGCAAAAATAAATAAAAACAGATAAAATATTATAAAACAATGAATTCACAGCTTATTTTAAATAACAATCTCAGAGGTTCCAAAGTATCAGACTAAAAATTTAAACTCATATAAATACAAAAAAATTATTGATTCTTGGAGTTTTGTTCTCCTTCCCAATCATTAACTGAACTGTACTACTTGACAATTTAGGGTATATATGATATTTGGGAGCAGGCCCTGTAATTGAATGAACTGACAATCACTAGAAACCCATTTGAAGTTTTCTAACAATAAATTTGCACTTATTGCTCCAGTCTGTGTATTATAAATTAATAATACTCCATAAAGGAAGAACACATGTCTCTCAGGAGAACTGGAGGTGGACCTTCTCAATGTGCATACAGACCTAAGGCACCTCTCTGCATGCAGAAGGTCCAACCATGTGCTCTGCTATTCATACTTCCCTGCTTATGGGTTTATCCCAGTAACCACTGAGTAGTACTGGCAGTGAATGGGCACGTCCCCTCTTGCATGACAACTTTCATATTGATTGTTCTATTTAATAATTTAGCAAAGGCGTTTTTTTGGTAACAAAGTGTTGACCTGGTAGCTGTAAATGTTATTTACAGTTAAATGTATCAGTTGGCTTTGATGCATAAGTCTAGTCCCATTCGGTTAAAAAAAAAGAATTATTTCCAGGAAGAGTAAAGAAAAAACCCAGCTCCTTGGTGGCAATTCTGAGGAAAAAACTTATCTATGGTAGAAATAAAAAAAAATAGAAATTTACTTAAGGTAGATTAAATTTAAAAGTCTAGGCTACATACTCCATCTTGTTCAGGTACAATAAGCTTCTATAAAACACACACAATTTTGTGTGTTTTTTTTTTTTTTTAGAGAGTTTTATCTTTTTGTAAAAAAAAAATACTCCTAAATAAAAAGGATCAGTATAAAATCTGGATGGATATACACCTCTCTGATGAAAGGCACCACAGTACAATAATGCATCTTACCAAAAAATTGTCTAACATGCTAGGTTGGAAATGCTCAAAGACTTACCCTTTTATCTATAGGTGTTAATTTAACAAGGCCTTCAGTTTTCTTTTTTTCTGAGTTGTGACTGGGAGCATCACAATCATATTCAACTTCTGGTTTAGATAAGTCTCGGCAGAAAGTACAAATCCACTCTCCACTGTAGGGGGACAATGTACTTTTGAATTTCTAATGCATCATTTCCTCTCTTCACTATTTCCCTTTCCCACCTCCTCCATGACATCTATGATACAGAATTGTTTATTTGGCATGAATTTTATCACTCAGCATTTACCACATACCACTAGGTATACTGCACCATGCTGAGAGGAAACAGCAGAAATATAATGCAAGGGCCTAACATCAAAATCTAGTTAAGAAGGTGTGAGATACATATATGAAAAAGAAAACAACAACCAAAAAAACCACCTAGACAAATTAACACATTAATCTAGGGCTCACATATCTAGGGCATAATTGAATTTTTTTCCTCCAAAGGATTCAGAAATCAGAAAAGCTCTTTGTACTGTTCTTGTTACTCTAAGTTTATAAAATTAAATTTTCAAAAGTATAGCCTTCCAAGAACTGAGAGATCAACCCAATGGCTCTTAACCATCTTGGTCAGGATGATGATCATCATCCCCATAGGGTTTGAGAATTTACTTGAAATACTTGTAAATGATACAGTTTGATGCCTGGAAAAAAGACATAATAAACTGGTAGCTGTTATGCCTAAGGACATTGTTCCTTATGGTGACACCTTGTGATAATTTAAAGGGCCTGTTATTTTCTTTTTATAATGACTAGGGAGAGGGTCTTGCTCTGTTGCCCAGTCTGGAGTGCAGTGGTGCAATCACAGCATACTGCAGCCTTGACCTCTCAGGCTCAACCAATCCTCCCACCTTAGCCACCTGAGTGGCTGGGACTATAGGCATGCACTACCACACCTGGCTAATTTTTTAATTTGTAGAGACAGGGTCTCCCTGTGTTGCTCAGGCTGAATGATTAATTTCTTAAGGAATAAGCGGAAAGGTATGGGAAAACTTAGCCTATTCACTGGGATTTTGGAGTATACATTTGTGCCAAGTAGAATTTCATTTAAGTAATCTTCAGAAGTTTAGAGTAAAAGAATGTGGGAAGGGAAGTACTATCTTACCTTGGAAAATTTGTCAATGTGGGCACATGACAAGAAAGATGGAATACTTTGGGGCACTTTTCACAGCAGAGGAGTTCCCCTCCGTTTTGACAAACTGCACACCAGTCCTCATTGGGGTCATCCTCTTTCCTTGTCTCTCCAACATGAAGGGGTGACTTCTGGGAAGGATCCAGCCACTCAGACTTTCCATTTGAGGAATTCTCCTGGTGAAGTCCAGGTTGATCTCCTGTACTATCAGGGGCATCTGATCTTAGCACAGTCTCCTCAGAAGTAGAGCTCTGACTGCTATTTAAGAGCAGGGAGGTGAGTATGCTTCTTGGATAATTGGCCTGTAGTAGAAAAAATATATATTTAACTGGTGTTTAAAAAATTTTATCACTAATGCAATTCTGAGCTGTAGGACCACTCTCTAGTGAGCACCTGGCTGCTTCAAAGGAATCTTCATGAGAACAGTATATGTTTACTGCTAACTGGTATAGAAGACATGGACCTCTACTGAAAAATATCAAAATAGAGAAAAAAAATCTGAGTCTGGGGATGGCTACAGAAATTAGAGAATGGGTTGGGTAGTGTGGAAGTCAGTCACATGACCTATATATACACCTCACTGGAGCTGTTCATTCAAATTATACCTAAGATACACAAATTGTAAGATGAATCTAAACTTTCTGTTGAAGCCCAGGATGGTAAAAATTTCAAATCTATAACAAGAACAGTCTCCTTCAAATGTTTTCAAAAACTTCAAGGTAATAAATGTAGATATAGTTAAAAGCACTCATTCCTTAGAAGTACTATTTTCAAACCTAGCTTTTTCTTCTGCCATCTACCTCCATATTTCTAAATAAAATGACTGTTAAAGATTGCAATACATCTATAATCCTTGCTAGTGAAGATCAGGAGATTAGGTTTTTACATCCTGACTCTCCAACCCTGTCCTTCCATTCAGACACACACAAAACCACCACCACCATTCACCTCATCCCTTTAACTTAGTTTTTATTAAGCATTGCTTTTTTTAGTTGGTAGGTACCAGTGTAACTATTTATTGCCAGTATCTATTCCAACTGATTAGTATTTGTCTGTACTGGTTAAGTATTCTGAAAATCACAATTTTTGGTTAAATGCATACATATTTAGGTTATATCCTGATTGCGTCACAGTTTTTCGTTACATTTGTACTCAGGTGTTTCTTTATATCATTATTATGTAAATATTGTTCACTGTAGACCCACAAAATGTACTATGACATTTCTTTTTGTACAACTTTTTGTTTTTACTAAGACTCTGTAATTACCTTATTTTTTCAGGTACCTGTTTCTATGTGATTCTCACAATCTCCAGCAGGAAATTCTCAATACTGTTGAAGCATTTTTCTCCCTTTGGAGTCCTATGTCTTCCTGCTAGAGACTACTGCACAAGCTGCTGCTGCTGTACTGTGGGTTGCCTTTTTCTTCTGTGTCAGATTCCATTTTTGGAATCTTGTATCTTCTTCTTTCTTGTTTTACTATATTTTTGATGATACATATTATCAAATATCTTCCTGAGAATAAGTACTTAAGAATTATTTTGAGAACTTGCACAAAAATGTTTAATCTTCATGTCTGATAATTTGCCTGGGTATAAAACTCTGGTTAGAGAATATCTCTTTTTAGCTGCCCAGTCTCCATATTTGAGCCTCTGATTTTTTAAAACTTTCCTGTTTTTCCATCTTTGTCTTTTTGTTTAATTTACTGAGAGATTCCCTCAAATTGTCTTTAAATCCCTTTAAATATAACATTAAAGAAAAAACTCCTAAGAGCTATTTAAGAGTTTCTCTCACCCTACCCACCATGCATAGGAATAATATTGCAAGTATTCATAATTACATTTTGAGGCCTAGATTCTTCATCTGACTCTTGCTTCACTATAACAACAGGGAAATCATAATTTTCTGGTGGTCCACTGTTTTCTTGTTTTATTCGAATTGGCTCCAACATGACCACTGGGACTTTGTGTGTAGAGTCAGCTCCTGCTGGTTTGCTGGAAGAGCCAGAGCTGTAAGTATGAGAGAGAAGAAAAAGCAATCTAAGAATGTTAAGCTGAATACCTCATAAAAAGTATAACAACAACTTTCTAAAATAATACTGTATCCTCACAACAGTAAGTATGTTACATCGGCAATTAATGATGCCTAACGAAACTGCTATATGCAAGTTTCATTTATGATAAAAATGTTTTACATATTAACCTATCTAAATAGTTATATATCTGGAAAGATGTTTCAATAAACCTAAACTTTTAAAAACCTGAGGCTTTACAGTTAGGCAACCAGATTTAGTATCTTAGAACTGGCATCTGATTTTAGACTTTCTCATTTCCTTCTCTAGTCAGTAGCAAAGTAATACTTTGGTGAAGACAATGAAATAATCATTTTTTTAAACAATGCTATTTAAAGAAGGTAGTGGGACAAAAACCTTTTACAGATATTTACTATGTTCTCATGGGATTAAAGGCAAACTTTTCTCCCTCAGACAATTCTTCCATATGATTAAGAAAGTAGGAACTGGGTTCACTAGGAGGAATTTTCAGGCATAATGCAGGGAAGAGGAGGGCAGTTGCTTAAAATAGAATTTCAATACCTGTATATTCATTTATTTTAAAGTAGAATCAATATTTAGTCATTAGAGATCAAATTAGCATAAAATTTTATCTTTTCCCTAAGTTTGTGTTTCTATATAGTGTACTGTGTTATACCTATTCATTTTTATGTTTTCTTTGCTATTATATGAATATCAAACATTTCTTATTTTCAACATATAGACAAATATTCTTCTATCTTCAAAGGTAAATTTGTACTTTTGTTAATCCCTTAACTAATTTATTAAAATTTTAATTAAAGATAAAGGAAATTGTTCAAAATATATTGAGTATCAAAACATGTTGAACACTGGCAAGAGAAATCTAATTAGAGATTTTATGTACTAGAAAATATGGTTTAGTCAGTTTACCTTCCTCGGCTTCCAACGCTGGAGGCACTAGGTGAACGTATTGGGGGGTGTACACTAGTCATAGTAACAGGTCCTGAGGAGGGGGAAATCATACATTCATAAAACGAATGAATAATTATGCATTGAAGTCCTATTGAATGTGTTCACTTAGCACTACATTGAAACTGGGAACCATGATTAAATTATATGAAACAGTAAGTAGCTGCTGAATTTTCAGCAGTCGGTTACAGCCTGTTACACTGGCAGGGTTTTTCAACCTCTGCACTATTGACTTTTGGGCCAGATAATTCTCCTTGTTGTGGAGGAATGTCTCTGCATTTTAGGATGTTTAGCAACATCCCTGGTCTCCACCAATTATTAGATACCAGTGGCATCTCTCTATACTTCCCAGCTTGGGGTGTGACAATCAAAAACGTCTCCAAACATTGCCAAGTCTTTCTGTGTTACAGTAACAGGGGTAAGATCTCAGTGAGACCCTAGTGCCAGTGGAAGCTACAGAAGACAATGAAAGGTGGTATGGGCTGATAGAAAAGGAGTTCAAAAAAGAAAACCAAGTAAACAAAATGAGACCAACTAATGGAAGGCACAAAGTCAGATCAATGGGTTCAGACTTGAGGCAATAAGCAAAAGAGGGATTCTGGACTACTGCCCTAAAAAGATTAAGAAGCTATGCTCTGGTGGTAGTGTAGACAGTAACAAGGAAGATCTAATTAAAAGCAGCCAAGAAAGAAGGAAAACTGCTGTAAATAATTTTGATTTGAACTGATGAAGGCCCAAACTAAACAGTAACAGTAGGAATA